GGGGGGGGGTGGGGGTAGGGTAAAGGTCATAAAGGAGGAGGGACCATGAGTGAGGCAGCTCCAAAATTTTAGGATAAACATACCCCTGAGTGTAAAATAAGGAAGATAGTAGCTCACAGACGAAGCTAGAAAAACCAGTGAAGAGACAGTTGGGAAGTATTAACAATGAAACATGAGAGATGATAAGGAATTTTTGGAGTTTTTTAGGTATGATTGGAATTGTAGTTAAAATTAAAAGTGTATCTTTTAGAAATATATAAATATGTGTACTTGAATTAAATGTCTTAGATCTGCTTTAAAATGATTGAAGATGAGTGTGGAAGAGATGAAACAAGATTGACTGTTGATAGTTGTTGAAACTGGATAGTGGGTAGATGGGGGTTCATTAAACCATTTTCTCTGCGTTTATATATGTTTGAAGTTATCCATAATAGAAAGTTTTAAAATGTAGTAAATAAGATTAGCCATCTGTAGAGAGTCAGTATTTGGGTGGACTGAGAAGTTCAGCAGAAGCACTCGAGGTTAAGGTAACTGGTATTAACTGGTATGTAATTTTAGGGGATTATGATTCTAAACACATGTCAAAATACAACATGGTAAAGAATGCTGCTGTGATAGTTAATATGCAGCCTAATCTTAATGAGTAACTACAACCAAACTAAGTCCTAAGAAGGGAAATAGTTAGGTTAAGCTTAAGAATTATTGCCCTGGCCAGGTAGCCCAGTTGATTAGAGTATCATCTGATGCACCAAGGTTGTGGGTTCAATCCCCAGTCAGGGCACATATAACAGTCAACCCATGAATGCATAAGTAAGTGGAACAACAAATCCATGTTCCTCTCTTTCTCTCAAATCAATCAATAAAAATATTTTTAAAATGTTTTTTGAAAAAGAATTATTGTTTATCAAAGTGAATGCTTCTATCTCCCAGACCCAAGGGAGTTTTGAAAAAGAATTATTGTTTATCAAAGTGAATGCTTCTATCTCCCAGACCCAAGGGAGGGGTGTTGGGGGAGGGGAGATTTCCAGGATTTGCCACGTCCAAAATCAGCATTTCTCTAGTAAGTGTGATCCATGGACCACTTGTACTAACATCACCTGGGTTTTTGCTAAAAATGCAGAATCCTGGCTTTACTCCAGTCTCACTAAATGAGAATTCTAGGAGGAAGGACCCAGGTTCCTATACTTCAGTATTCCTTCAGATGAATCTTGGCACATGTAAAGTTTGAAAATTGGGAATAAAGATGACAATAGCTACCTCTTGTCTTATTGAGCAGTTTTTTCATATTGCCAGATACCATGCTGAACCTTTTACATATATTAATCTCATAGCACCTTTATGAGGTATGTGATAAGGTAATCTCACCTTAGAAAAATTAAGTTACTTGCTAAAAGTCACCTAGTTAGAAATGGCAAAGTGGGACCTCAGACCAAATTCTGATCCCAAAGCTATGCTCTTAGCCACTATACCACTGCCTCCCACCAGGCCAGCTCTTTTCTCTGAGCTTTTGCCCACCCAAAGGCTTCTGTGGGAGTTGGCCCCTCACCTGCCCTTTATGGGGCAGATGTGTCCTGCAGAGGACAGGAATATTTCAGTCACTGGGCAGGGACAGCTCCTGTTGTAAATTAATATGTAGTGTCAGTCTATGCATTAGCTTTCTTTTAGGTTGTTTTGGATCAGTCACAAAGAGTACTTGAGACCTTATACTTGATATAAAGTAGCTTGAAATTTTTCTGCAGCTATTATATATTTTCCCATGATTCTAAACCTTTTTTTCCACTCCAGTATTCCTATGTGATTGAACACATTCCTGTCAGTGACAGGACTCTGCTGTGACATTGCTAGCCAAGGGACAAGGTTAAGGGCACCTCCTGCAGTTCTGAAAGGCTTCCCCCAACAGACTCAATGGTTGGTGTCCCAGGGACCAGGAGAGCCAGCCGGTGGGAGAGAAGCCTAGGCACGGACTCCACAGGGACCGTGCTGCTTGCACAGCTGTGCTGCTCACCTCATTTCATTAGCACCTGCAAGTAGGTGCAAACCCATCCTCAGCCTCTTTTGTACAATTCTGAACCCAAAAGGCTTATAAAACAACATCTTTTTGTTAAGTTTGCAGCAATTTGGAGGGGCGGGGTACAGCAAATCCAGATCTGAACTGATGTGAGACTGTTTATACTCTTTACTCATACAGTACTTTTGACACAGAAATATTAATACTTGATTACAGGGTGCTGCCCAGACCTCACTGGGGGTGTTACCAAGTGTGTGTGGTATGTGCCATGTTCTCTTTCTAAATTTTAAAGAATTTTCAAAACACTTTGGCCCCAAGAGTTCAGATGAGAAAGTTGAAGTTATGAGAGCTGATTTCTCAACACATCGCTCCCAAGTTATGTGACCAGATTTTTAAAAAGTCCATGTGTGTTTTCCCAGCTCCGCCACACTGCCGTTTAAGGAGCCCATTGAGATCGTTTATCCTGTTATTTGAAAAGTCGGTTAGCTTTGCAAATACTTGTATAGTTGTATAAAAAGCCTCAAGAAAAGTGTTTTTAAAGTTGTACCTTTGCCCAGCCAGGCATGGCTCAGTGGTTGAGCATCGACCTAGGATCCAGGAGATCCAGGTTCAATTCCCAGCCAGGGCACATGCCCGGCCTGCGGGCTAGGCAGCTGATCAATGACGCTTTCATCATTGATGTTTCTATCTCTGTCTCTCTCCCTCCTCCTTTTCTCTCTCTGAAATCAATAAAGATATGTTTTTTAAAAATAATAATAAAGTTGTATCTTTGGTCATTTGGTCATTGGTAATGCTTCAGACTTACCTTTTTTTTTCTTCCAGAGAATTCCTTTGAATATTTCATTTGGAATATATACTGTTCCCATGTCGTTAGGTGGAGGCAAATAGGAAATCAAAGTAACTGACCGCCCAGGCAGTAGGCTGTGACTGTCCCCTTTATCCTTGCCATTTAGAAAGCAGTTAGCAGCACCAAAATAAGTAATCTGGCAGATTTTTCACAAATAAGGATTGTGGTGATAACATTTTCACAGAATAAATAACAAGAGTCTTTGAATAGTGAGCTAAAATATCTCTTTCTATTTAAATCATTGTTATCACACACACACCATTTTTGCTTTGTCCAGAATGGCTCACTTAGGAAAAAATATTTTTTTTTCAAGTGAAAATCATCTGAAATCTTCTACTTTAGGCTTTCTTATTTCTGTAAACCGTGAAACTTTTGGTTAAACGTTGATCGTGTTTTCCGTGCTCTTTCTCTTCTGGGATGATTATTTCTCACTAGATTTTCCTGCTGAGTGAATTGTGTGAGTGTTGTGTGCTTTGTAAGACCTGGCCGACCTCAGTGATGCACAGGGTGCTGGAAAGCACTAGGGTGCAGCAGTAGAGCGTGGCCTGTACTCAGCTCCTGTTAAGACAGGTAGTTTAATTGGGATTTAAAGTTCTTTTCATAAAATAAACCTGTGGTATTGTGATGTGATAAAGATTATATATTTGTTCTTTATCCTCAATTCCTGGCACAGAGCTCGTAAAACCCTTGGAATTTCCTGACTGACGAGAGAAAGCTAGAACTCTCAGCCCAGCTCCAGCCTCTGCGGGGGGAACAGGGACTGGAGATTGCACCCAGGCACCAAGGGCAGCGATCTAATCAGTCGTACCTGTGTAACGAGGCTTTGATAAAACGAGATTGGATTGGTGAACATTCCACGTGCTGGAAGGGTGGTTCGGGCGTGGACACTCACCCCTTGTCCTGTACATCTCTTCCATTTGTCTGTTCCTGGGTTGATTTCTTTATAAATAAACCAGTAAATGCAAGTAAAGCACTTTCCTGAGTTCTGTGAATTGTTTTAGCAAATTATTGAACCTGAGAGGAGGTCATGGGAACCCCCAAATTATAGCTGGTTGGCCGGAAGTATGGGCAGCCCCTGGGACTTGCTACTGACATCTGAAGTGGGTGCAGTTTTGTGGGACTGAGCCCTCACAACCTGTGGGGTCACTAAATCGAGGGAGTTCGTGTCAGGTGCTGGAAGGCAGCAGGTCTCTCGTGTGTTCGCTGTGTAACCGGTGCACCCACCTTCTCTTACAGTACCTGACCAAGCAGGTGGAGCTCCTGCGGCAGATGAATGAGCAGCATGCGAAGGTTTATGAGCAGTTAGATGTCACGGCAAGGGAGCTAGAAGAAACAAATCAAAAGCTTGTTGCTGACAGCAAGGCCTCACAGCAAAAGATTTTGAGGTAAACTGTCTAGAATCCATTGAGGAAGCCCTGGGCAGGAGTCATTTGGTATAAACTAGAATAGAGCATGGCTGTTGTGGGTTTGGGTCAGTATGGGGCAAGGTTTAATTTAATTCTTTATGAAAAATAGAGATTAGGTAGCAGTCTTTTCCAATTAAGAAAGCCCAGGTTGAGTGATTAGCAGCTAATCTCTCCTCACTGCTATGCCCTCAATTTTATATGACAAGTGGCAATCAGCTTTGTCTGTCCCTCACAGTCTGACTGAGACAATCGAATGCCTGCAAGCCAACGTCGATCACCTCCAGAGCCAAGTGGAGGAGTTGAAGTCATCTGGCCAAGGGAGGAGGAGCCAGAGAAAGCATGACCAGAAGTCGGCACCCAGCTTCTCGTGTCTGAAAGAGCTATATGACCTGCGCCAGTAAGAGCCCCCCCTCCCGTGATGTGTGCAGGCAGGAAAGCATCTCGGCACAGATGCTGTCTGCATCCTGTAGATTCGAAGTCCATTTAAATGCCACTTAGCTATTAGACCACCAGTGGTTCAAACAAAACCACTTAAACGTGCAAATTAGAGTTCTTGGGTATTAGCAATTTCATGGAAACTCATTGTCTAAAGTCTTGGAAGCATGTATTTTATGTTTTAAATCTTAGTTTAAAATAAGATGCAGTACTTCTGATACACTACAAATTTTGGGGTTGTGTTTTACATTAGAGTGAAGAAAAAAATTGAAATTTCAGTAAAACAAAAATCCTGGTGAATGGTTTTGTGCCTACATTAATGCCTTTACAGTTTACTTATGAGATTGAATTTCTACTTAAGGACTGCTTATTGAGCACCTGCTGTGTGTCAGGTCTATGCTAGACATGAGGAGTGACGAGTAAAATAGACACAGTTCCTGCCCTTCTTCGTGGAGTTTTCCATCCCATGAGAAGCAGACGAGCAAATCATCACACAGATAAATACAGTTACAAGTTGCCAAGGACCCTAAACGGGAGAGAGGCCAGCTCTGTGTTTGATGGTTCTCACCCGTGGCTTAGTTCATCATATCACCTGCTGGGTTTTGCCAGCTGCAGTACAAGTGATTCCCTCAGGCCTAAATCAGAATCTCTGGGTGTGGGTAAATCCTGCAGGTGATTCTGATGTGCATTCCTGGTTAAAGGCCAACTGCAGCATGTGATGAACCACATGGAGAGCGTGGAAGAAACCCAGGTCCAGGCGATAGACCAGCTAGGTTAGAATCTGGGGGGTGGGACCCGGGCGTCAATAATTTTTAAAACTACCTCGGAAAGTCTAATCTACGCAAGGTGGAGGACCACTGGGCCCTCTGATTCCCTTGAAACATAGCAGTCAGACAGCTGGTCTTTGGGAATGGGTGTTCTGGAGCACTTTCCATGTTTAAAAAAATTAGTCTCAAAAATTATGTTTTTGAACATGTTTTGTTTGCCCACCTCACACAGTTTCTTTTTAGCCACTGTTCTAGTGAGGAATAGGCAAAAATTCAGTCCCTGTCACAGCTCCTCAAAAATATTTAGCTGAAAAAAATCGCTGCTCTTTCTCTCCAGTCTCAGTCAATCTGTGTAATATATTCTTTCCACATTTTCCCTAGACACTTTGTATATGACCACGTGTTTGCGGAAAAGATCACTTCCTTGCCAAGTCAGCCAAGCCCAGACGAAGAAGAAAACAAGCATTTGAAGAAGGCGGTGAGGACGCTGCAGGCGCAGCTGAGCCTGGAGCGGCAGAGGCGGGGCGCCCTGGAGGAGGAGTACGAGCTGGTGCTGAAGGAGAACGAGGAGCTGGAGCAGCAGCTGGGCACCGCCGGCGCCTACCGCGCCCGGGCACTGGAGCTGGAGGCCGAGGTGGCTGAAATGCGGCGGGCACTGCAGTCTGAGCGGCCCTTCGTGAATGGGGTTGAGAAGCTGGTGCCCGACTCCCTGTTCGTCCCTTTCAAAGAGCCTGGCCAGAGCCTGCTGGAGGAGATGCTGCTGACGGTGCCCGAGGCCCCACGGAGGCCCCTCAAGCGAAGCAGCAGCGAGACAGTGCTCAGCAGCTTGGCCGGTGGTGACATCGTGAAGGGCCACGAGGAGACCTGCATCCGGAGGGCCAAGGCTGTGAAGCAGAGGGGTGTGTCCCTGCTGCATGAGGTGGACACGCAGTATAGCGCACTGAAGGCCAAGTACGAGGAGCTGCTGAGGAAGTGCCAGCAGCAGGAGGGGGACTCGCTGTCCCACAAGGCCGTGCAGACTGCCAGGGCTCCGGCCAGGGACCTAGCTGCCAGGGACCCACCCACCGCTGGTGCCCCCGAGCCTGCTAGCTCCCCCACCAGCACACCGCCTCCCGAATACAAAGCGCTCTTTAAGGAGATCTTCAGCTGCATCCAAAAGACGAAGCAGGAGATCGACGAGCAGAGAACGAAATACCGCTCTCTCCCTTCTCCTTCCTAATGGGGCCTCCAGCTCCCCTGCTCATTTCCTACCTCCCATCACCCCCTCCCACTCACACAAACATTTGTAGACCCCAACACAGAAGCTACTCATGATGTTGGCCTGCTTTGCTTACTTAGCAAGTGTGTACGTACAGTGAAGAAAGAGGATGGCTCCTGGCATCAGTTCCCTATCCCAGATCCCTTTAAGCCCCACAGAAAGCCCCTCCCATGACACACTGGCCTCTGGCTGGCACTGACCAGGCTGCAGTTCCTTGAGAAGCCCCAGAAGCAGTGGGGGCAGATGTGTGTTCCTGGAGAGGTGGGCATAGAGTTTCCATAGGATATACTTGTATATATAGTGCATAGTACATTGGGAAAGGGTGAGGGAAACTAAGCTAAAGCAATCCCTGCTGCCTCCTGGCTTTACTCAAAACTGTGGAAGTCAGCTGCCAACCTGAATTGTTCACAAGCACTGTTGGATACTGTGAATTCATTAAGAACATTCAGGAGAAAGTAGGGGTCTAATCCAAAGAAACAGTATTAACAAGTACCCCACACCTTTGAGTTTCAGTTGCTACCAGTCAGACTGACAGGTAATCCTAACAGATCTAAACCCACTGAGCACCCGCTGAAAGGCAAGCTCTGCTTGACCAAAGCTAGCCTGTCGGCCTGCGCTGCCAGGACATCCACCCCACACCCAAATGTCCACGCAAGTACAGTGGTTAGGATAGCCGAGTACACACATCGTTCCTTCCTTTCTTAAATGCAAACCAAGGGGACAGACCTCTTCTGTGTTGCCTGAGCTGGCTGACCTGCTCAGTGCCTGCCACCCGTCAGTAACTGGACTTGGCTGCACGGACCCTGTCTGCTGCTTTATTGAACAGTGTTGGCATCATTCTAACTGTGGAAATAGACAACTACTAGCACTTGCATACTTTAATTTAAAACTATTTAAGAAGACTGAGGTTCCAGTAATTGTATATATTTTTCTAAAAACCAAATAAAACTACCTATGAAAATGAACAAATGGATCTATATTGCTTATTAATTTGAGCTTAAGCCATTTCACTGTTGTAACTGTTCACCCTTTTCTTCCAACAAACATCAGTAGGAAGATTTGAATAGTGATTTTTTTTTAAAGATTTTTTTATTTTTAGAGAAGAAGGGAGAGGGAAAGAGAGAAAACATCATTCTGCTGCCTCCTACACAACCCCTACTGGGGACCGAGCGCACAGCCCCGTCATGTGCCCTGACTGGGAATTGAACCAGCAACCCCTTGGTGTACAGGACAGCACTCCCACCAACCAGGCCACACTGACCGGGGCCTGATAGTGATTTTTTCCCCCATTTCTTTTAAGCAGGTCCTTGGGATTGTGTAATAACACCAATTCTGCTCAAATTGACAAGTGTTGGTTAAAATTACTATATGACTGAAAAACATTTTCAAATTACATACTCTATAATTCTTCACTGTTTTATTATTTATTTATTTTTACTGTGGAACAAATCCACAGTTAATATTTATTTTTTAAATTTTATTATTGTTTAAAATATTACAGATGTCCCTTTTTCTCCCCAATGACCCCTTCCACCCCATTCCTTCCCCCTCCCCAGGCCCTCTCCCCACCACTGTCCGTGTCCTTGGGTTGTGCATAGATGCATATAAATTCTTTGGTTACTCTCCCCCCCTCCACCCACCCACCCTCCTCTCTCCCTCTGACATTCGTCAGTCTCACCTATGCTTCCATCTCATTGAATCTATTCATCAGTTTAGTAAGTTCTTTAGATTCCACATATAAGCGAGATCATGTGATATTTGTCTTTCGCTGCCTGGCTTATTTCACTTAGCATAATATTCTCCAGGTCCATCCATACTGTCCCAAAGGGTACGAGATTCTTCTTCTTTACAGCTGCATAGTATTCCATGGTGTAAATGTCCCACAGCTTTTTTATCCACTCATCTACTGATGGGCACTTGGGCTGTTTCCAGATCTTAGCTATTGTAAACTGTGCTGCTATGAACATCGGGGTACATATATCCTTTCTGATGAATGTTTCAGGATTCTTAGGATACATTCCTAGGAGTGGAATCACTGGGTCAAACGGCAGCTCCATTTTTAATTTTTTGAGGAACCTCCATACTGTTTTCCATAGTGGCTGCCCCAGTCTGCATTCCCACCAGCAGTGTACTAGGGTTCCCCTTTCTCCACACCCTCGCCAGCACATGTCGTTTGTTGATTTGTTGATGGCAGCCATTCTGACAGGTGTGAAGTGATACCTCATTGTGGTTTTAATTTGCATCTCTCTGATGATTAGCGACGTCGAGCATTTTCTCATGTGTCTCTTGGCCATCCGTATGTCCTCTTTGGAGAAGTGTCTATTTAAGTCCTTTGCCCATTTCTTAATTGGGTTGTTTGTCTTTCTCTTGCTGAGTGCTATGAGTTCTTTGTACACTTTGGAAATTAGCCCCTTATCAGATTCATCCTTGGCAAATATGTTTTCCCAGACCATGGGGTTCCTTTGTATTTTGAGGCTGTTTTCTTTTGCTGTGCAGAAGCTTTTTAGTTTGATGTAGTCCCATATGTTTATTTTTTCCTTTGTTTCTCTTGCCCTAGGAGATGTATCAGTGAAAAGTCCACTACGTGGGATGTCTGTGACTTTACTGCCTATGTTTTCTTCCAGGATTTTTATGGTTTCGTGACTTACATTTAAGTCTTTTATCCATTTTGAGTTTATTTTTGTGTATGGTGAAAGTTGGTGGTCTAGTTTCATTCTTTTGCATGTATCTGTCCAATTTTCCCAGCACCACTTATTGAAGAGACTGTCCTTACTCCATTGGATACTCTTGCCTCCTTTGTCAAATATTAACTGACCATAATGGCGTGGGTCTATTTCTGGGGTCTCTGTTCTGTTCCATTGATCTATATGCCTGTTGTTGTACCAATACCAGGCCGTTTTGATTACAGTGGCTTTGTAATACAGTTTGAAGTCTGGTAATGTGATCCCTCCCACTCTGTTCTTTTTTCTCAAGATGGCTGCAGCTATTCGGGGTCTTTTTTGGTTCCATATAAATTTTTGAAATGTTTGTTCTAGGTCTGTGAAATATGCTGTTGGTATTTTAATAGGAATTGCATTGAATTTATAAATTGCTTTGGGTAGTATGGACATTTTAATGATATTAATTCTTCCAATCCATGAGCATGGTATATTCTTCCACTTGTTTAAATCTTCCTCTATTTCTTTTTTCAGTGTCACGTAGTTTTCTGAGTACAGGTCTTTTACATCCTTGGTTAAGTTTATTCCTAGGTATCTTATTTTTTTAGTTGCAATGGTAAATGGTATTGCTTTTTTAGTTTCTCTCTCTGAAAGTTCATTGTTGGTGTATAAGAATGCCATTGATTTCCGGATGTTGATTTTGTATCCAGCTACCTTGCCAAATTCGTTTATCAAATCTAGTAGTACTTTGATGGAGTCTTTAGGGTTTTCTATGTACAATATCATGTCATCTGCAAATAATGACAGTTTTACTTCCTCCTTTCCAATTTGGATACCTTTTATGTTTTCTTCCTGTCTGATGGCTATGGCGAGGACTTCCAGTACTATGTTGAATAAGAGTGGTGAAAGTGGACATCCCTGTCTTGTTCCGGTTTTTAATGGAAATGGTTTTAGTTTTTGCCCATTGAGTATGATGTTGGCTGTAGGTCTGTCATATATGGCCTTTATTATGTTGAGGTATGATCCCTCTATTCCCACTTTGCTGAGAGTTTTTATCAGAAATGGGTGCTGGATTTTGTCGAATGCTTTTTCTGCGTCTATTGATATGATCATATGATTTTTGTCCTTCATTTTGTTTATGTGATGTATCACATTTATTGATTTGCGGATGTTGTACCAGCCTTGCATCCCTGGAATAAATCCCACTTGGTCATGATGTATGATCTTTTTAATGTATTGCTGGATCCGGTTTGCTAGTATTTTAGTGAGGATTTTAGCATCTATGTTCATCAGGGATATTGGCCTGTAATTTTCTTTCTTTGTAGTATCTTTATCTGGTTTTGGGATTAGGATGATGCTGGCCTCATAAAAAGAGTTTGGGAGTTTTCCCTCCTCTTGAATTTTCTGGAATAGTTTGAATAGAATAGGTGTTAATTCTTCTTTGAATGTTTGGTAAAACTCGCCTGTAAATCCATCTGGTCCAGGACTTTTGTTTGCTGGGAGTTTTTTGATTACTGCTTCAATTTCATTAGTTGTTATTGGCCTATTCAGGTTTTCTGCCTCTTCTTGATTCAGCTTTGGAAGGTTGTATGCTTCTAGGAATTTGTCCATTTCCCCCATGTTGTCCAATTTGTTGGCATATAGTTGCTCATAATATTTTCTTACAATCCTTTGTATTTCTGTTGGGTCAGTTGTTATATCGCCTCTTTCATTTCTGATTTTATTTATTTGGGTCCTCTCTCTTTGTTTCTTAGTGAGTCTGGCTAAAGGTGCATCAATCTTATTTACCTTTTCAAAGAACCAGCTCTTGGTTTCATTGATTTTTTGTATTGTTTTTTTAGTCTCTATGTCATTAATCTCTGCTCTGATTTTTATTATTTCCTTCCTTCTACTTCCTCGGGGCTTTTCTTGCTGTTCTCGTTCTAGTTCTTTTAGTTGTTGTGTTAGATGGTTCATTAGATCTTTTTCTTGTTTCTTGAGATAGGCCTGTAATGCTATGAATTTTCCTCTCAGGACTGCTTTCGCCGTGTCCCATAGATTTTGGGTTGTTGTCTGTTCATTTTCATTACTTTCCATGAAGTGTTTGATTTCTTCCTTGATCTCATTGGTAACCCATTCATTGTTTAATAACATGCTATTTAGCCTCCATGTGTTTGAATATTTTTGAGTTTTTTTATAGTGGTTGATTTCTAGTTTCATGGCATTGTGATCCGAGAAGATGCTTGATATGATTTCAATCTTCTTGTATTTGTAGAGACTTGCCTTGTGCCCTAACATGTGGTCTATTTTTGAGAATGTTCCATGTGCACTTGAGAAGAATGTGTATTCTGCTGCTTTGGGGTGAAATGTTCTATAAATGTCAATTAAATCCATTAGGTCTAGTGATTCATTTAAGGTCTGCGTTTCCCTGTTGATTTTTTGTCTTGATGATCTGTCCAATGCTGACAGTGGGGTGTTAAAGTCCCCCACTATGATTGTGTTGCTGTCAATCTCCCCTTTGAAGTCCCCCAAGAAATTTTTTATATATTTAGGTGCTCCTGTATTGGGTGCATAAATGTTTATAAGGGTTATTTCCTCCTGTTGGATTGATCCCTTTAGTAATATGTAGTGACCATCTTTGTCTCTTGTTATGGTCTTTATTTTGAAGTCTGTTTTGTCAGAAATAAGAATTGCTACTCCAGCTTTCTTTTCCTTTCCATTTGCATGGAATATTTTACTCCATCCCTTCACTTTTAGCCTGTGTGAGTCTTTTGCTCTCAGGTGGGTCTCTTGTAGACAGCATATATTTGGGTCCTGTTTTCTTATCCATTCAGCTACCCTTTGTCTTTTGATTGGCCCATTTATTCCATTTACATTTAAGGTTACTATTGATATCAACTTATTTAATGCCATTTTCCCCCTTTATGCTGATGTACCTTTCTCTCACTATTCCTTCTTTTTCTTAAAGCAGTCCTTTTAGCATTTCTTGCAATGCTGGTTTGGTGGTACTGAACTCCTTTAGCCTTTTTTTGTCTGGGAAGCTCTTTATTTCACCTTCAATTTTAAATGATAGCCTTGCTGGATAAAGCAATCTTGGTTGCATGTTCTTGCTTTTCATTACTTGCAGAACTTCATGCCACTCCCTTCTGGCCTGAAGAGTCTCTGTTGAGAAATCAGCTGTCAGCCTTATGGGGGTTCCCTTGTAGGTCACTGCTTGTCTCTCTCTTGCAGCCCTTAATATTTTCTCTTTGTCCTTGACATTTGCCATTTTAATTATGATGTGTCTTGGAGTGGGTCTCTTTGGGTCCCTCTTGTTTGGAACCCTCTGTGCTTCCTGAACTTGTGTGGCTTTCTCCTTCGCCAGCCTAGGGAAGTTTTCTATCATTATTTCTTCCACCAAGTTCTCTATCCCTTGCTCTCTTTCCTCCCCCTCTGGCACTCCTATAATGTGAATG